CAATTGTTTAAAGTTATTTGACGGATTGACTGAATTCAGCTATTTCTCTCTCACCAAGGCCTTGGGCACGTGTGCAGCCACAGTGTGATGGTTTGGGATTAGGAATTAAGGAATATGCATTTGCCAGTGCTCCTGAAATGCTATCCAGATTTCTTCCATTTTTCTGACAGATTTAGCTCTAGTTTATTATGAAGTTTTATAACAATTCAGAAGATGTGTCAAAGGTCTCAAATATGAAATCAGAAGGTGCAGGGCAGGGGTTTGGGGGTAGGTGCAAAGATTCATGAAAAGGAAAGAGACCTGTGTTAAATGCAAACTGGTATTCATAACATAATATACCCTTTAATGCACAGTAAGGAGGTAGTCACCAATGTATGACAAAGTGGAGAGTTTGGTTTGGCTCACGGGCATCTATGTGAGGTAGAAATAGGCCACTTTCAGAATATGAGCATTATGGTTCTCAGAGTAAAAACTGACATTCTAATGTGAATATTCAGGCCAGGCATCGTGGCTCACACCTGGTAATCACAGCACTTTGGGAGGCCAAGGCGGGTGGATTGCTTGAAGTCAGTGGCTTGAGACCAGCCTGGCCAACATGATAAAATCCCATCTCTACTAAAAATACAAAAAGTTAGCCGGGCACAATGGTGGGCACCTGTAATCCCAGCTACTCAGGAGGCTGCGGCAGAAGAATCACTTGAACCCAAGTAGTGGAGGTTGCAGTGAGTCGAGATCAAGCCACTGCACTCCAGGCTGGGTGACAGAGCAAGACTTCATCTCAAAAAAAAAAAAATGTGAATGTTCAAATTTGAGTTGCCCAGTTTCTCTACATAAACTAATCAAATGAACTAGGTAACTATCTGATAACCATATTGTTTTATATCTTAATGCAAAGTGACTGGCCCAAAAGCCAGAAGACCAGGTTCAAGTTTTCATTCTGCCACTTACAAATTTAGCCTTTTTTGTTTATAATTTTCTCATCTATGGAAAGAACTAACAGTTTGATACTTTGTGCCTCACTGATTTTTTTAATATTTAAATTTACAAGGAAAAGATGATAAACTTCTCAATGCATGTACATGCATAGATTTAGTCAATGTGCTTTATGTTATTTTGTATTTTACTTCTTTTTCCAAGTTTTGAATTTTCTTCTGTCAGCATCATACACATTTATTACTGCTTTGTCAGTGACTCAATATGAAACAATGTTTATATCTGGGTATGTATCATGTTTCTAGCTTTCTTCTGCTATAAAAAGTGTTATTATGTCTGTCTTTATACAAATCCGTTTTCTTTTTGGTTTACTTCATTGCAATGTGTTCCTTTGAACAATTTGCTTAGTTCTGGGTTTTTGTTTTTTTTTTTTCTGTTTTCTTTTGTTGTTGTTGTTGTTGTTGTTTAGAGACAAAGTCTCACTCTATTACCCAGGCTGGAGTGCAGAGGTGTGATCTCGGCTCACTGCAATCTCTGCCTCCTGAACTCAGGGGATCCTCCTGTCTCAGTCTCCAGAGTAGATCAGAAGACAGGTGCATGCCAACATGCCTGGCTAATTTTTTTGTAGAGATGGGGCTTTGCCATGTTGCCTGGGCTGGTCTCGAACTCCTGAGCTCAAGCAATTCACCCACCTCGGCCTCCCAAAGTACTGGGAGCCCTGCCAGCTCTATTTATTTATCGCCAAGTTGCACTTTAGGTGGTGGGGAACCTGTGGATTCTCCTGTTTCTCTGGGCCCCTCACACATTGTCTGCTGACCTTTTGGTGTATGCTAATTAATAACAAAGCAGTAGGAATTGCTAAATTGAAGCTGTTTGTCAGAATAGTTCAACATTTTTCAGTATCTTGTTTTCTAACTGTATTTCTCTGTCTCTTGCCTCAGCCTTTCTACATTATGGATGTACCTTTCATGTGTACATATCTTTTAATTGTTTTTACCTTTCCATTGCACTTCCTTTCATCTTAGTTTTGTTACTGTCCATCATATGGAATGTTTTACTTTAATATAATTAAACCCATGCATGTCGCTAACCTCTTCTTACACAGCTGAGATAGTCTAGTTCATTTCTTTCGAAAGTTTTTTGGAGAATGTTTAAAATGCTCAACCATGTAACTCATCTAGAATTTATCATGGCCTGTGAGAATCAAGAAATATATTGAGAAAAGTAGAGGATTTAGAATTTTTAAAACTAATTATATGACCCCAACAGCACTAACATAAACAGACTTAAGTAAGTTATTTCATGTCTTAAGATGGTGTCCTCTACTAGATTGAAAACAGGGGCTTTGTCTTATTTCTCTGTGTATTTTTCACAAAATTCTGCAAAGTACCCTGTACATAGGATAAATGTTATAATGTCTGTATTTAAGTCATATTTTTGCATATTGATAAATTATTCCAATAGCATTTATTAAATAATGATTTACTTCCCAATTATTTATTTGGTTGCTTACAATGGATCATGGTATCCATGACACTCAGATTTGTTCCAATGACAAAGCACCTGGAAGTTGCAGCATTCTTTGCAGAACACTGTGACATATGGAGAAATTAAACCTAAAATAACGAAAATTAAAATTTGATGCTACATCAGATAACTAGCTTATACCAGATTCTAGTAGAGTGTAGATACCATGAGATTAGACACCAACAGCTGTTTTTAAGTAATGGGAGAAATATTAAAATTAAGAACATTCTATCCAATAACTTAATTCCTTATAAGAATCAGGAAAAGAATAAAAGCTGATGAAACAGCAAGTTCATCAAGAACAGAAGTTGAAAATCATACCGTATATTAAGCATTACCAGTTGAGACAATATAAATAAAAACCTCTGATAAAATGTAAACACTATGTAAATAGCGAAGTCCAGCCTAACTAGGCTGAACTCTAGCTGAACCCAAAAACTTCTTCAGATCAGTCTTTTGAGCAGGATGGAATTCCTGCCGTATTAGAAAGTCTAAGAGAGAGTGGATGTCAGACCTCCAGAGCATGCTTCACACCAGCAGCCTGACCTCTGGACACTTCTGTTCATTCATCTATAAATCAGAAAGGAGATGACACAAAAGGGCCTCACAGCTTCACATTCTACCATATTGCAGAGTATGGACTTCACAAAGCAAACGAGGAGGAGTTATGTTGGAACCATCAGAAAGAACTGCTGTATTCTTTGTGTTCTCAGGACCTTACCAGCACTACAGGCTAGAGTCCTGTGCTCTGCACAGTGTTCATGAAAAGGTGAATGAGGATGTCTATTAAGGCTGTGGGAACCCTCTGCAAGCAACATCATTTTGCTATACTAATTAATACTTTTTCATTGAGGCTGGGCATGGTGGCTCATGCCTGTAATCCCAGCACTTTGGGAGGCCGAGGTGGGTAGATCACTTGAGGTCAGGAGTTTGAGACCAGACTGGCCAACATGGCGACACCCCCAACTCCACAAAAAATTTAAGTTTGCTGAGCGTGATGATGCACACCTGTAGTCCCAGCTACTTGGGAGGCTGAGGCAGGAGAATAGCTTGAACCTGGGAGGCTGAGGGAGGAGAATAGCTTGAACCTGGGAGGCAGAAGTCGCAGTGAGCAGAGATGGCACCACTGCACTCCAGCCTGGGCAACAGCAAGACTGTCTCAAAAAACAAAAAAGGACAATATGCTATAGTGTAAAAAAAAAAAAAAACCTATTGGAACAAAAGTAAGAACTCTAGGTTTGGGCATCCACCCTGCCACTTGATCAAAGATAAGTCATTCAATTTTATGGGCCTCAGTTTCCCTTCTGAAAAAAAAAAAGGGTATTTAGAATGGATGGTTCTGATTTTTCTCAAAAAAAAAAAAAAAAAGACTGAATCTCACTTTGTCACCCAGGCTGGAGTATAGTGATGCGATCTTGGCTCACTGCAAACTCTGTCTCTCGTGTTCAAGTGATTCTCCTGCTTCAGCCTCCTGAGAAGCTGGGACTATAGGCACACGCCACCATGCCCAGCTAATTCTTGTATTTTTAGTGGAGACTGGGTTTCACCATGTTGGCCAGGCTGGGCTCTGATAGTCTTGTCCAAATATAGGTATGTCCCAATTCAAGAAAAATCAAGATACAAAACTTTATACTTAGGGAACAGATATTTCACTATCTTGCTAAGTCACTCTAAAAAATTCCTCCAGAGTTTATGATAAATACGCTGTCCTCCAGGATACTGATAGCTTTTCTCTAGACAACATTCATGGATAATATTCTATGACAGGTGTGTGTGTGTGTTGCCAAAAAATCAGACCTGCTGAACGCTGATTCAGATATAGAGCCAAAGGACAGTAGATCCATAAAATCATTTGCTTGGAAGGGAAATGAAAGATGACCTCTTCTGACTCATGGTTTCTTAATCTGCAGTGTACGCTTGGTCCAGGGTTCTGAAATCAGGACTAACAGGGAGAGACTGCTTCATGTAATGGTGCAATCATCCTTTCCCCTTCTCTTTTACACCACCTCCAGAGACTGCATGGATCAGTGGTATTGTTCAAAGCATTTCAGTACATTTTAGCTCAAGCCATTTCCCCTACCCCAAAAATGTATCCCACCAAAAGGTTTGCTTCTCATCTCCCCAAGAGTATGTGTGCTCCAGATGTTTTTGAACTCTCACTGCAGGATGTGGTGCAAACAATCCCAGATTGCTTTGGTTGTCCTAACTTAGTCATCACACTAAGGGCACCCCACTCTATAAACGCTGACTGCCAACTTATATGTCACCAGTGTGGAAACACCAACTTGCTTTCTGTCACTCTGGACCGCTGACTCAGATCAGAAAGCTGAATGCAAAGTTACAGACAGTGGCCCTGGTTTACACTTAGCAGTCAGTGCCTGTATTTTAGGATGGGATTTCTCCTAATATTAGCAAAGCTTTTAATATGCCCATTAAAATAGGATACAGTTTCTACTAAGTACATCCGTGAAGAGTCATTTTCCCTTAATTTTCTCAACACCTGGGACAGTTGACAGCACAGTTTTGCTACCCTTTTTCAGGTTCAGAAAATGGTCTCGCACAGAAGCAACGAACACCTCGCCGACGCTATCAGCAGCCCAAAATGTTGAGCAGCCCTGAGGACACCATGTACTATAACCAGTTAAATGTAAGTTCAAAGTGGCCATAAAGCGGTTTCACTGGCTTTGTTTCCAGTTAATAATTCTGTTATTACTACCTGTTCCCACCCCTGCAGCCCCACCCCCACTCCCATGCTCTCGTCTTGAACATGTGCTTAGGCTCTTTATCTGTTGCTTTCATGTCAGGATGTCTGCCTTCACGGTGAATAATTGATGCGGTTTATCAAAGACGAGCAAGATGCATGCTTCATCAGGCTCACTTGAGCCCTTTGATCAAAAAAATTATGCTGTGACTTCTGATATTATCAGCATCTGCTTGCATTCAACACAAAATCACTTTGAATTAAAAATTAACGACTTGCTGCTTTGCTTTGACTGTGTGTTCTTGGCCCTCTCCACAGGGAACTCTAGAATATCAAGGGAGCAAGAGGAAGCCAAGAAAACTTGGGTAAATATCTGTCTTCTTAGTTCTAAGCAACTGTAAACAGAAGGGGTCCTTTGTGATATTACAGAAAATGCAAAACTTTCCAGAGAGGCTTCTAAAAATATGCAATCCAGATATTGCCACTCTTATTGACACTGGAAACTACTTTTCACAGTATCAAGTATACGAAACTTGAATCTATTCTTTCCCAAAAGGTTGACATTGTCACCTAAGGGCAAATGTTATTTCTTACAATTATTCCAGGAAATTCTACTTTCTTCATAATTAGAGACATATAGTGGGTTATATAAAACACTCCTTCCACAAATAAGAGCACTCTACAAAGTGCAAATAGGCCATTTCCTCCACATTATCCTACCCCGGGCCTTAAAACACGTACAAGGAGAAATGTGCCCCACTGGTTAGACAGGATAGTAAGGAGTTTGTCTTCGTTTGGTTGTTAGCATCTCAATTGAGAATGGCAATGAAGTAAGTAATTGGTACTAGTTAGAGAATTGGGGGAAGTCAGGAGGAAAACTTTCTCATCTAGAGGGAACCAGATGGAGACAGACAGATGGTTCAATCCCACAAATCAAGTTGCAATATGACCACAACTTCCCAACACCACAAAACTGGACCCATTATCAGTGCGTGACCCAAAGGTGAAGGGCTTTGTGGATCAGACCCTGGTACCTCTGTATTGGGAAACCCTGAGCTTCCTAAGCTGTCCTTCCCCTCCAGTGTTGGGACTCAACCCTGTTTCAGCTACTCACACAACTTTAGCTGCTCCAGTGATGATTGTGACATCTGTTTTCTTTTTTGTTGAAAATCCTTTTTTTGTTGTTGTTGCAGCCAAATCAAAGTACTTGATGGGGAAGATGAATATTACAAATCTCTGTCACCGGTGGACTGTGTCCCTGAGGAGAACAACTCAGCCCACCGGTCCTTTTTCTTGTCATCCTCAAAAGGAGATTCTTTTACTCAACATTGACTTGTACCTCCTAGCCCCACATCTGTCCAGAGTAGGAACACTCATGATAATTGACTGTCACTGCATAAGAAAGCACTGACATGGGGTCAACTTCTTTGGACATGCGATCCATGCCTGAGCCTTACTGAACAACTTGCAGATTCCAAAACGTCTTATCCTATCTCTACCACTCTCCCACATCTGTTGTACAGCCTCCCTTCCTTTCCTGTCCCATAGGTCCCTATGGGACACTGAGAACAGCTTTACAATGGCATGAACAGTCACTGATGCCCCCACTGTCTAGGAAGATAACAGTCTCACCACAGTCTCATCATGGACCCTGATAATATTTCTTGATTTTTCCTATCAAGTTACTTTTCACTCCACTCAGAAGCTGTTCCAGTGGAGATCCAGGAGTCCCTTTCCTGTGCTCTTCTCCACCCTCTCACCCTTGCTGGGCTCTTCTATCACTCCCACCTCCCCAGGGTCAGGGCTCCACTGATGAGTGCCCCATCCTGGAAGATTAGCCCCAAGAGCTCCTAGGACAGGATAATTGCCTGTGTTTAGGCAGAGGCACCTAAATCTTTCAGATTCTTCAACAAGGCAAATAACCCCTCTCTTGCTAATTATTATGCTGAGAAAGCCATTGCCTCTTTATTTCACCTTGCCAAGACACCCACACTACTTTAGTAGTGAAAAGAAAGGAGTGAGAGGGAAAGTCCGGGTCACTTTATGCTGTAACTCTCCATTCACTGGTCAAATAACTCCATGAGGCTATTAGTGACTACAGTGGAAGGACCTGATCTTGTCCACCTTTGTGTCCACCACGCCTAGCACAGTGCCTGACAGAGGGGACCATCTAGTGAATGAAGAACAGCTGGAGAGACTTCACTAAGTTACACAAGCATCTGACAGAAATGTTACTTTCAATTTTATGTTACATGTGACTAATCACTTTTTGTACACTATAAACTCTGCTTTTTCACTCAAGCCTAAGCTAATTCTATTGTAATGATATGTTATAATACTCAATATGATTCAATATGACAAACTGTTTTGAGCACCTGCTTTATATAAAACAACATGACAAACTGCTGTGTGATGTAAACAAAAACAAAGCAGCCCTGTAAGACCCTTTCTCTAGAACAGATGCTCTGAATATTTTTCTTACACTAAAATATGTGGTAGATAGTATGCAAGAAAATACCTGAATTTTGAGAAAAATTACCTTGAAGAAAACCTTATCAGAGCTTTGAAATGGAGTGTGTTGATAGGCATCTTATGAAGATAAGTAAGGAGGCATTTAAAGATCTCAGAAATTATAATTTTAGAAGTAAAAGAAATAAATATAGCCCGTTTTTCAATAGCTGAACTTCACTCAAAAGGTAATGTTTATAAGTAAGCAGAGCAGAAGAAATGCAGATAAGTTTTATTTTATTGTTCAAAAAATAATGCATAGACTATATAAATTTTTCATGTCTATTCATATATGAGTGCTTTTGGAAGTTTCACTTTTATCATTGATTTGATAGTAATAGCTGCTTTTCAAATTGTTGAATGGAAATGTTCATAGCTCCCTGCTTGTCCATGTACAATGTAATTCTAAACCTGGCTTGTTTCTAATGTAAATATATCTATAAATAAAGTGAAAAAGAAAACAGAAGTAATCATAGAATCCTAATCCAGAAGCTCTGCTTGGTTACGTCATGAATACAGCTGCCCTCCTAAGAGTACTTGAGAAACGATGTGCACTTTTAGTCACAGCATAGAGAAGACAGATAGACTACAGACATTTATTCTTGTGCTAGTCACAGTGCCACAAACTCAAAAAGCAATTTTTAAACGAAGTAGATGAGAATGATGCAACCTGGACTCTTGTAACTGATTACATTTATCAAAGTAATATGCACATGACAAAAATCAAATGGTCCCGAGGGTTTATAGTGAAGCAGTCTTTCTTTCCACGTCCCCTCTCCAGGAAGCAGTCATTGTTTAACCCTATTTCTAATTCTTCTAATGATTGCTGCCGTGCCTTTGAATAATTTGCTTCTACCTTCTTTGTTTGTCATTTTAAACAATATTTAATCTCCCCCTTATGAAAAAACAGATTTATTTCAATTCCCTCTCCCCTTCTCACATCTCCAGGACTTATTATGTTTAAATGGTTGACTACCTTTTAGACTAAGTCATATAATTAAACATTTATTGTTTTGTACCATCAACATTCAACAGTATTTCTGTGAGGATACCTGAAATTAGGAAAACCAGCAGACTCATAGCTGGGCATGGTGGTTCATGCCTGTAATCCCAGCACCTTGGGAGGCTGAGATGGGTAGATCATTTGAGGTCAGAAGATGGAGACCAGCCTGGCAACCATGGCAAAACCCCATCTCTACCAAAAACACAAAAATTAGCCAGGCGCGGTGGCACACAGCTGTCCTAGCTACTCAGGAGGCTGAGGCAGGAGAATCACTTGATCCTGGGAGGCAGAGGTTTCAGTGAGCCAAGATCATGCCACTGCACTCCAGACTGGGCAACAGAGTAAGATTCCATCTCAAAAAACAGCAAGTAAATAAATATAAATAACAAAACTGGCAGACTGAACAATAACATCAAAACACAAAACAAACAGAAATGATTCTGGGAGTAGAACTTTTTTTTTTTTAAAGTTCCACTGCAGACATTTAGTGTTCATATTCTGAGCTGCTGCTTCTTCATTTTGGTCATTTGCAGATATGCCTTCATCTACCTTTTTTTTTTGAAACAGAGTCTTGTTCTATCACTCTAGCTGCAGTGCAGTGGCACAATCATGGCTCACTCAAACCTCTGCCTCCCAGGTTCAAGCAATTCTTGTGCCTCAGCCACCTGAGTAGCTGGGATTACAGGCATGCACCACCACACCCAGCTAATTTTTCTGTTTTTACTAGAGATGGTTCATTTGCCATGTTGTCCAGGCTGGTCTCAAACTCCTGGCCTCAAGTGATCCGCCTGCCCCAGCCTCCCAAAGTGCTGGGATTACAGGTGTGAGCCACTGCTCCCGGCCCAAACTTTCTTTTCAAATACAATACACATCCAGAAAAGGACACAAATCAGAAGATTCAGCTCACTAAATTATCAGAAAGTAAATGTCCATGTAACCACCCTCCCGTCTAGAACGAAACATTGTTAGCACCTAGAAGCCTCCCTCCAGGCCCCTCCCAGTTACCACTCCTGTCTGTGCCTCCCCAAAGATAAATATTCCCATGACCTTATTGATAAACACTTTCTTGATTTTCTTGGTAGTTTTATATTTACATGTTTTCCTAAACACTATAGTTAGGTTTGGAAGACTTGATATAAATGGAATCCTACGGTAAATTTTTTTTTTAGGTCTTGTTTCATTCAATGTTGTATTTTCTAGGTTCATGTATGTCATGGAATGTAAATATAGTTTGCCGATTTTCATGTCTATGTAATATTCTAGTAGATGAATATGACATAATTGAGTCATTCTACTTTTAATGGACAAATATGAATTGTTTCCAATTTGGGGCTATTTTAGAAATTGCTGCTGTGAACATTAGTGTATCCATCTTTTGGTGTCCATTTTTGCATGATTTTCTGTTAGCTATATACCTAAGATAAAAGTTGCAGAGTCATAAGATGTACATATCTTTACTTCAGTACAGAATGCCAAACTGTTTTCCAAAGTAGTGATACCAATTTACAATCCTATTGGTAGTATAAGAGAGCTCCCATTGTTCCGCATTCTCACCAGTTCTTGTCTCTCATCCAGGACTCATGGGGTGCTAAATCCCAGAATCTCACTGTGATTATAGCTTATTTATCCCCCACTAATAATATTGGGCACATTTTATGTATTTTGTGCCCAATTTAGATAACTGTATAACATGCCCATTTTGAATTAATTTAACCATTGTTTTCTTTTAATGTGAAGAAACATATGTTAGTTATATGCATTGCAAATATTTTCTCCACTAGGTAGCTTACCCTTTCATTCTCTTAAAGTGCCTTTGATGAGAAAAAGGTGGTTTTAACGTGCTATAATTTATCAGTCTTTTCCTTTTTTTAACTTTCATTTCAGGTTCTGGGATACATGAGCAGTTTTGTAACTCACGTCATGGGGGCTTGTTGTACAGATGATTTTGTCGCCAGCTTTTCCTTTTCAACTAGTATTCTTTTTTTTTTATGGTCTGTTAAGAAACCTGGTGGCTCACGCTCATAATCCTAGCACTTCAAGGGGACAAGGTAGGCAGATAGCTTGAGCTCAGGAGTTGCAGACCAGACTGGGCAACATAGCAAAACCCAGTTTCCACCAAAACTACAAAAATTAGCCAGATATGGTGGCGTGCACCTGTACTCCCAGCTACTCGGGAGGCTTTGGTGGGAGGACTGCTTGAGCCCAGGAGGTCAAGGCTGCAGTGAGCTGTAATTGCACCACTGCACTCCAGCCTGGGTGACAGAGTGAGACCCTGTCTCAAAAAAAAAAAAATTCCTACCCCAAGGCCACAGAAACATTTGACTTTAGAATCTCCTGGAAGCATTATTGTTTTGCCTTTCACTCACCATTCTTCAAACCACCCAGAACTGATCTTGTGAATGGCGTGCAGTAAGGGTTAATTTTCATGTTTTCTGTAGGGTTATTCAATTATCTCAGTCCCATTCAATAAAAAGGCCATGATTTTCCTAGTAAAATACTACCATTTACATAAGTCAAGTGTTCCTGGGTCTGTTTCCAGATTCTCTATTTTGTTCATGGATATATTTGTTTTTCTTTGTTTTAAGTACTATACATTTATAACAGGCTTCAGTATATGGCAGGACAAGTCCTCCAACACTGGTTTTCTTCTCCAAGCAAAACTTCATTAGTTTGGGTCCTTTCCATATTATGGAATCAGTCAACCTCTAAAAAACAAAAGCTGTTGGAGGGCCAGGCATGGTAGCTCATGCCTGTAATCTCAGCACTTTGGGAGGCCAAGGCAGGAGGATCCCTTCAGGCCAGGAGTTGAAAGCTACCCTGGTCAACATAGTGAGACACCATCTCTAAAAAAAAAGTTTTTTAATTAGCCAGGCATGGTAGCATGCACCTGTAGTCCTAGCTACTTGGGAGGCTGAGGTGGGAGGATCATTTGAACCCAGGAAGTCAAGTCTGCAGTGAACTCTGGATTGTGCCACTACACTCCAGCCTGAGTGACAGAATGAGACTCTGTCTCTAAATAATAATATTAAAACAATTGGGATTTGGGATTTCTTTGGAATTATCTTGAATTTATAAGTGAATTTGAAAGGAATGATCATGTTTACAATATTGACTTTTTCAATCCATGGCATATCCTTCCATTTCTTTAGTTATTTATCCCTTGTTGTCTCTAAATAATGATTTATAATTGAGACAGTCTCACTCTGTCACCTAGGCTGGAGTGCAGTGGCATGATCTCAGCTCACTGCAATCTCTGCCTCCTGGGTTCAAGCTATTCTCCTCCCTCAGCCTCCCAAGCAACTGGGATTACAGGCACACGCCACCAGGCCTAGCTAATTTTTTTTATTTTTAGTAGAGACGGGGTTTCGCCATATTGCCCAGGCTGGTCTCAAACTGCTGAAGTTAAGCAATCCCCCCGCCTCAGACTTCTAAAGTGCTGGAATTACAGCCAGGAGCCACCACACATGGCCAATGATATAATTTTACATGAGAAATTTGGCACATATTTTGTTGGTTTTATTTCTGTGTACCACATATGATTTGATATTATGTAAAAGGTTTTCTTAGTTATTTTCTGTTTTTTTTTATGGAAATGCAGTTGAGTTTTAGCATTTGAGATCCACAGCATTGCTAAATTTACTCATTAATTCCAATAATGTATCTATATACCCTTGGATTTTCTGTATATACTATTTTACCATCTGCAAATAACTATAGATTTTTTTTTTCTTTTCAATCTTTATACCTTGTTTTTTCTTGACTTACTGCCTCTATCATTTAGCTATTACTACATTACAAACCACCCAAAATAACTACATATTTCTTACAAGTCTAGGGGATGGTTGAGTATTTCTACTGATTTGAGTTAGTCTTGCCAGGGTTCACTTGTGCTTCTGCAATTAGTTACAGGTCAGCTAAGCAGCTTTGTTGATTTAGGCTGGGTTTCTCACATACTTGGGGCCACAGCAGAGACAGCTGGGCTAACTTAATTCTGTTCTACATGGTCTCAAGCTCCAAGTTGCTATTATTATTCTCAGTGGCAGTGGCAGAGTCTCCAAGAAAGGAGGGGAGAGAGAGAGGTCTCCGGATGCTCAGAAGTGCCACATTGCCAATTCCACCACATTCTTTTAATCAAACCAAATCACAGAGCTAGATATTTTTAATATTGTACAACCTATTGTAAGATCCTTTTGCATTTGTGATGCTGTCACTTATTTTTTCGTTATTGAGGTCTAGCTTACTCATCCTATGAACAGAACAATTCAGTAATAATTTTAAGTCTGAAATTTGTTGAGACTTTATAGCTGGAGGGTAGTAGTGCAATCATAGCTCATTGCAGCCTCAAACTCGGGCTCAGGGATCCTCCTGCCTCAGCCTCCTAAGTAGGTGGGAGTATAGGCACACGCCACTGCACCCAGCTAATTGTGTGTGTGTGTGTGTGTGTGTGTGTGTGTGTGTGTGTAGAAATGTGATTCTCACTTTGTTGTCCAGGCTGGTCTTGAACTTCTGGGCTCAAATAATCCTTCCCCTCTCATTCTCTCAAAGTGTTGGGATTACATGGCATTACAAGGATAAGCCACAGTGCCCAATTTTTGTCAAAATTTTAAAACTATAATATATTATTAGGTGCATACAAACACTTTTATCATTTGCTTGTGGCTACCCAAGAAATTACAGTATGCATCCTTAACTTATCCAATAATAGTCATCTAATATTACTTGTCCCTTTACTCTCTACCTAGACAATTCCAGAATTCAGGAACCTCAAAACACTATATCTACATCTGTGTGTGTGTGTGTTCTTATATATATATATATAT